GTTTATGTTTTAATCTAGGGCTTCGATTCTATTTTTCTCTTGATGTTGGAAAGCAAGTTTATCAAAGATACTTTTAAAAGTTATACTAAACTAATAATTCAATCATTTAGATCTTAAGCAAGTTTTGATAATTCATCAATTCAATAGTTAGTTAAACTACAACTAATCTATCTGGATTTCTTTTTAGCTTAATTGATTTTAGTCTTAATTTGCCTGCCGTCATAGAATAACCTTTCAGAATCTAGACGGATGTAACGTTCAGTTGTTTTGGGTTGAGACAATGAATTTGTTTTTTTTCCTGTCTGTATTTTCTAATTAAATTATTTTCTATCAGGGAACTATTTATATGTTATTTGGGAACTATTTATATGTAATTACTTCACTGATTTAACAGAATTTTTACTATTTTTATTGTGTTTAGAGATTTTGATCCCTGTTTTTTTGCTCGCCAGAGTGTTGTATCATCTTCCTTTTGCAAGTAGTGTGTCAGCATCTTACTAAGGAGCATGTGGTGGATACTCCTTGCCGCCCATACCTTGTGGTTTTTCTGTTCTACTTCTGCTCCGTCCGAGCAACCGCCGAAATCCCTGCTACCTGCTGTCCAACAGCCCATTTCAACTGTCGAGCAAATCATACCCCTTCCAAACAACTTCGATCACCCATATTTTCATTCCCTTTCCCTTCCACAACTATCTCCTCTCAAAATCAGCTTGCGCAGTACCTTCTAAGAGCACTTAAATAGTGTCAATATGCACTAAAATGGTGTCAATATGAATACGAAGCAAAGAACTATGAGCGCCAAGAAGTTTAGAGGTAGAAGTATCACTATAATGAAAATTAAGAGTTCATAATCTCAAACCAAAACAGTTGAACATTACATTATCTTGATTAGAAGCTCATTCCTAGAGCAACAAAATCTTGCATCAAATCAACAAAGCCAAATGGAATTTCTAAACTTGCAGAACAAACCCAAAAAAAGCTTAAACTAGAATAGTTGAAGAAGAGCAAATCAAACTACGAAAAAGTTGGACAGATCAGCAAAGTAGACAGCTGGAAAAAAAAGCCCAAGATAATAATGAGGACATATTGAAGTTGAAAGAAACAGCTGAGCGTATATATACTAAGCAAAGAACTGATGAGAGTTATGGTATCCAGTGGCAAAATATACTTACTAAAATACTTGAAATACAAATTCAGAGAAATAAGAAATTTTGCTAAAAGTGAAAATGGTGTTGTATCCCGTGTGGAACAATATCCTGCAATTGCAAGATTTATCGTGATCGTACAGAATTGCGGAATCCTACTTGGAACTATAGCAAGATCCACGATTTCACAAAATCCCATAGAACCAGCTCCCGCATCATTCTCCCAGGCTATAAGAGACTTCTTTTGAATCTCTGTAAACTTCTGGAATCAATCTAACATCATAACAAAATCATTTCGCTGTTACTGCTGGGGGAGCTCTAGTACAAACTGTATGCTCATGTCCACCCAAGGCAACTTTGAAACATATCCTTCCAAAGTCTTTCTGATAGAATAGTTGTCATCTTTTTTTTACATAACCAGAATTTGACCTGCACAAAAATGAGTAATGACACAAACAAGTTTCGAGCAATTAAATCAATAACCTACTTCTCCCACTCATATTTGGCAGGACATAGCCGATAAACAAGTTTTTCTTAAGGAACCAACCCTAGAATTAGATCTATGACCTGTTAGACCACTGTCAATGATAGCCACCTAAGGGGTAAATTGTCAGTAAGGAAATCCAGCGAACCCCTTAACAACGGTTGCTCTTTTTCTACTATCATCTTCTCGAATTCACAACCTTTTAGTATAACCAATGCTACTTTTGTTGGAGTCTCTCTCGTAGGCTTAGCTTGAATCTCCAACATTTCTCTCTTATTGGTTGCAAGTTGATACTCTTCATTAACATCTTCATTCTCTTCTATGTCACTGTCCATTTCTTCAACTACTCCCTGCTCAATAAAAAAAATCACCTTCCTGTTTAGCGATCAAACACAATGTGGCAAAAAACGTGGCATTTAAAGCACTTACTGGTTAAGACAAATTTAAGAATGCTGGCGATCTCCAACTTTCTCGACTCTGTATGGGTTTCTCCTTGGGTATCTCTTGTTGCATCATATAGAGTCAAGCTATGTCTGTAAAGTGTCGCGGTCACCAGTTAACATTATTTTTTCACCTTCAAAGCCAGAGTCTGTACATCAAGTAGAAATCAATATGGTTGTAGTCGCGCCACATTATTGATGGCTAGTTTCTGTCCTGTAAGATATCTTGTCACGCTTGTTCTTCTGTTTCCACCAACCCACATTTCATTATGATCAAAGTCAATTGTGTAATCCTCCACTGAGTCTCTTTGGCTCACAGTGTAGAGTTTTATGAACATGCCATGTTGGTAATGAAGGGAAAGATAGTTTCGCTACATATCCCTTTTCTTCTTTAGACTAGGTGATATTCTTACTCTTCTTCCCTTCTCATTGCAGAATATGCTTCAAGTTCTCCCACCACGAAAAAGTATTTTTCCTTAACTTGGCTTGCTTGACTCTTGTGTCAGATGGAACGCCTTTGTACTCAAAGACTCATTCCACTATCTGAAGTTACTCGATGAACTCGTTCAGATCCATGCGACCGTCAAATTCCAGCAAGTCAATCTTCACTCCAAATTCCTAACATCTCCTCTGATGACCCATTCCAAATTGTCAGGGCATTGGTTCTTCGTCATTAGAAACTTCCTAGTGAAGAAGATTCACTTCATACTCTCGATTTGTTGAATGGCTACTGTGGCTATAGGTGACCTCATCAAGCTCTCTCCTCTCAAAGGCAGCTAACCTCTGTTATAGTTAGATAATTCCTCGTTGCATATCCAAGGTGATATTTTGGACACCTTGTTGAAAGTTCACCCTTCATGGCATTGTGTCAATTTCTCCCAATCAGAAGTTTGACAGATATAAGATTGCAATAAAAGGTTGGCTTTTGAAAATTTAGGATTAGGGCTAAGAATTATGATAGGAAGGGTTAGGGTGTGGTGGATGATTGGGGGCCTTTTTTTTTGACATATTAGTTTAGATTGTGTTAAAATTTGGTTTGGGATCAAAAGGAAGACAAATACCTAATTTTAGGATTTGGTAGGCTCTGTACCAGATCACACCATTTTAGGACACCTAGAAGGTGTTGAGGAAGCAGATTTTACGGGGAGATTTTACGGTGAGAGAGTTGTGGAATGGTAAAGGAATGAAAATATGGGCGGTGTCATAGATGTTTGGAAGCGGTACTATGAGCTTGGTGGCGAAAAATCGGTTGCTGGACATTTGGTGGCAGCAATTTCAGTCAGTGAAACGGGGAGGATGATCCACTACTAGTTCATAAGCGAGATACAAACACACTACCGACAAAAGAAAGATAACAAAAATACTTCGAAGATCATAAAAAAATAAACAAAGCCTCTAAAAACAACAACAATAATAATAATAAAAGTCTATTAAATAAAAAAATAACACACAAATAGTTCCCTAATAACAAATAAAATAATTAAAAAATATAAAAATAAAAAGAAAAAAAAGAAATTTTGCTAAAAGTGTAAATAAGATAGTATCTCGTGTGAAACATCATCTTGCAATCGTTGGATTTACCATGATCTCGCTGAATTGCAAAATCCTGATCGGGACTATAGCAGGATCAACGATTCCGCAAAATCCCACAGATGCAGTCCCCGCATCACATATGATTGGTTGTTGCATAAAGCTTAAATAAACTAAATATTATATTGGGCTACTTTTTTGCAGCTTTGTCTAATTAGCAGGTTTTTTCATAATGAAGCATACAACAACAACAACAAAGCCTTAATCCCACTATGTGTGGTCGGCTACATGAATCCTTTTTCTCCATTGCGTCCTATTTAGTGTCATATTTTCATTTAGTTCTAATAAATTAAGATCATTTTTAATACAATAAGC